ATCATCATCATCATCATCATCAACGACACCAACATCATCATCATCGCCATTATCATCATCATCACCATCATTACCATCATCATCATCACCATCATCATCATCATCATAATCATCCACGTCATCATCGGGACACCGACGGGACACCGAAGGGACACCAGCGGGACACAGGCGGGACACCGCGCGTCACCGGCCGCCCGGTCAAGGTTTTTTTGCCCCGGCCGCGCCTCAGCCACGCGGGACACCAGCGGGACACCGGCGGGACACCGCGGGACACCGGCCGCCCGGTCAAGGTTTTTTGCTTCGGCCGCGCCTCAGCCACAGGAGACTTTCTCTCGCCCGCCCACGCAGGTTCGCCTCGCGCGCACGGCACGCACGAACACGAAACCGAAATCGATTTCCCGGTAGGGGGGCTCTCCGTTCCACTTCGATCTCACCCCCCAACCTCCGACTTCAGGGCCCGCCTTTTAGGGCGACGCCGACGCTGCCGACGACGACTACGACACCGACGAGGGCGAAGACAAAGGAGGAGGGGGAGGAGGAGGAGGAGGAGGAGGAGGAGGAGGAGGAGGAGGAGGAGGAGGAGGGGGAGGGGGAGGTGGAGGAAGGACGAGGAAAAAAAAACCACCCAGACCTACCTCACGAATCGGACCTTGGACGCCTGGGCGATTCACCCGCCCGCCCGACCCTCCTCCTTCTCATTTTCATACTCCTGGTCATCCTCCCGCTGCTGCTCCTGCTGCGGTTCCTGCTGCTGCTCTTCACCATCATCCATTTTATCCTCTTCCTCCTCCTCCTCCTCCTCTTCCTCCTCCTCCAGGAGGGCATCGGAAAACAATGCAGTTTACGCGGTTTCGTGTCCCCCGTCCACTCATCCAGAACATCCTGAGTGGGGTTCTTGTTTTCCCAGAACATCCTCTCCTTCTCCCTCCCGCCACCCGCCTCCCACCATCCCTCCAGGGAGGCCCCGCCTGAGCGAGGAGGGTCTCGGAAACCCATGCTATTTAGATTGTTTCGTGCCCTTCCCACCTCTCCAGGGAGGCCCCGCCTGAGCGAGGAGGGTATCAGAAACCCATACTATTTACATGGTTTCGCGCCCCTCCCACCCCTCCAGGGAGGCCCCGCCTGAGCGAGGAGGGTATCGGAAACCCATACTGTGTACATGGTTTCGTGCCCCTCCCACCCCTCCAGGGAGGCCCCGCCTGAGCGAGGAGGGTTTTGGAAACCCATACTGTGTACATGGTTTCGTGCCCCTCCCGCCCCTCCAGGGAGGCCCCGCCGGAGCGAGGAAGGTTTCGGAAACCCGTACTATTTACATTGTTTCGCGCCCTTCCCACCTCTCCAGGGAGGCCCCGCCTGAGCGAGGAGGGTATCAGAAACCCATACTATTTACATGGTTTCGTGCCCCTCCCCCCCCTCCAGGGAGGCCCCGCCTGAGCGAGGAGGGAATCGGAAACCCATACTATTTAGATGGTTTCGTGCCCTTCCCAAGCATGCCCCGGTCACTCCTTTTCAGGATTTCGCGGGAGGAGGAGGAGGGGGAGGAGAAGGGAGAGGTAGAGGAAGAAGAAGCAGAGGAAGAGAAGGGGGAGGTGGAGGAGGAGGAAGAGGAGGAGGGGTACATGCGTGCCAAGTCGATGGTAATCCATACTTCACGGCCCGCCTTTGAGGGCCCGCCTGAGAAAGATGGCGACGCCGACGTTGCCGACGACGACTACGACACCGGCGAGGGCGAAGACAGAGGAGGAGGAGGAGGAGGAGGAGGAGGAGGAAGAGGGGGAGGAGGAGGAAGGACGAGGAAAAAGAGACCACCCAGACCTACCTCACGAATCGGACCTTGGACGCCGGGGCGACTCACCCGCCCGCCCGACCCTCCTCCTTCTCATGTTCATACTCCTGGTCTTCCTCCCGTTGCTGCTCCTGCTGCGGTTCCTGCTGCTGCTCTTCACCATCATCCATCTTATCCTCTTCCTCCTCCTCCTCCTCCTCCAGGAGGGTATCGGAAAACAATGCAGTTTACGCGGTTTCGTGTCCCCCCTCTACTCCTCCAGAAAGGCCGCGCTTGAACGAGGAGGGTCGCGGAAAACATTACTCTTTCCCAGGTTTCGTAGCCCTCCTCCCTTCCAGCGGGGCCCCGCCAGAGCGAGGAGGGTATCAAGAATCCGTACTATTTACAAGGCTTCGTTTTCTGAGCACCTGTCCTCCCTCCTCCTTTCTTTCGTCTGCCGTTTCGTGCGTACTTACTCGTTCGATGAGCTTCTCCTTCGTGTTGATGTTGTCCGACCCCATGGGCCCCACGAAACCGTTAATATCTTTATGTGGGGAACTCCGTTCGCATATTTTTTTTGGATATTGTTTTGCACAGGAAGTCCGATATTCCCTTACATTTCCCCGCCCGAGGAGGTATTGATAACACCGCATCCACACTTCAACATCTCCAGTCCAGATGGCACATCGCCTTCGCGATCGCCTTGCCCATGAGCCTTGCATTCTAGGTATCACCACGCCCACCATGCCCGAGTAGCCCAAAACTTTTGGGAGAAGCCCCGCAACCTCTGAGAGATTCCCCGGAGCCCCTTGGGATGCCTTTGGAGCCCTTGTGACAGCCTCTTCGTGCACCCTGTGGAGTTTTTGGGTGCCTCCTCGGGACGTTTGCGGCGTCTCCTGTTGTGTTTTTCCCCAACCATCCTGTGGTGTTAAGTCTTCGTTTTGAAGAGACAACGCCCCGCGTTCCTCCTCCGGGTGCCCCTCCTCCTCCTCCTCCTCCTCCTCCTCCTCCTCCTCCTCCTCCTCACCCTCCTTGCCTCTGCCCTCCGCATGTCTCTGTTTCGGCACACCCCTCACGCGCTTCGAGGGCCCATCGGGAGCTCAACCGAAGGCCCCACTGGTGATGTTTCGCATGGCGCCACCATGTCGGGACGCCCTTCGCATGTTTCGTGGCTCCATAAGGGGGATGCACCGAAGGCCCCAGTGGCAGGGTTCGCATGGTGCCACCGCGCCCACGTTGGCACACCCATCACGCGCTGCGTGGTCCCAGATGGAGCGCCACCGAAGCCCCCAGTGAAAGGGCTCACACCATGCCACCGCACACACACGTCGGCACACCCCTCACACGTTTCGTGGCCCCACAGGGAGCTCCGCCGACACCCCAGGTGGCAGGGGTCACATGGTTCCACATCACCCATGCCGGCACACCCCTCACACGTTTCGTTGCCCCATAACGAACTCCACCAAAGGCCCCAGTTGCAGGGTTCGCATGGCGCCACCGCGTCCATGCCGGCACACCCTTCACACGTTTCGTGGTCCCATAGGGACCCCCATCGAAGGCCATGGTGGCAGAGTTTGCATGGCGCCACCGCGCCGTGCCCTCGCCTCAATGCCGGCTACATAGTTTGGCCGTGCGGGCACGATCCCTGGTAAAATATGTGCTTCGATTCACATGTCTTCACTTTTACGCTGTCAGGGGGGGCTTTGCTGGGATATCTCAGCTTGACCCTGGTGAGGTGGCGCTTCTTGATACGACCGCGCGGGGCTAGTAGGGGAACGACAAATTACATAAACATGCAAACTCGGAGGTCCGCGCGGATTTCTCGGATCCGCGCTGGAGGCCCCTGGCGGCGCCTCGGGCGCCCCCCCCTGGCGCGCGGACCTCCGAGGTTCTTTTATGTTTATGTCGTTGTTCGTTCCCCTGGTTGGCGCTGGCGGAGGAGAGCGACGCAGGCGTGTGGGCGTGCGTTTTGCCCGCATGCCGGCGCGGGTGCCGACGTGGCACGACCCAGGGAGCGCATCTCGCCCTTGGCCCCAGAGGGGGACCGAGGGCCGCACTCGCGGTGCCGCCTCCGCAGAGGCGGGGGCGCACGGGCGTGGAGCCATGGCTGCCCCTGTTCCTGTGCGCGTCCCCGCTTAGGGTCCACCGAGTGATGTGGCCATGCATGTCATGCGCCGATCTCGGTAGGTTCCGGTTAGACCCCGCACGAAGCGTCCGTTGGAGCCGGCCTGGGCGCGGTGCTGTGAAGAAGGAAGGCAGAACGGCGGCACGGCGGCACGGCGGAAGGCCAGCCGACGTGAACGCAAGACGTCTGCACGTCTGAGCCCAGGATTTCCGCACTCGGCCATGTATGAAGACACGTTGCAATCGGATGATGATGATGATGATGACGATGATGCTGATGGTGATGGTGATGGTGATGGTTATGATGATGATGAGGATGGTGATGACGATGATGCTGATGGTGATGATGAGGATGGTGATGACGATGATGATGGTGATGGTGATGGTGATGGTGATGATGATGACGATTGTGATGGTGATGGTGATGGTGATGATGATGGTGATGGTGATGGTAATGATGATGGTGATGATGATGATGGTGGTGATGGTGATGGTGATGCTGATGGTGATGATGATGATGATGGTGATGATGATGATGATGCTGATGATGATGATGGTGATGGTGATGGTGATGGTGATGGTCATGATGATGATGATGATGATGATGATGGTGATGATGATGGTGATGACGATGATGATGGTGATGGTGATGGTCATGGTGATGATGACGATGATGATGGTGCTGATGGTGATAATGATAATGATGGTGATGATGATGCTGATGATGATGATGAGGAGGATGGTGATGATGAGGATGATGATGATGATGATGATGATGATGATGATGATGATGATGATGATGATGAGGATGAGGATGAGGATGAGGATGAGGATGAGGATGATGAGGATGATGATACTGATCATGATCATGGTGATGATGAGGAGGAGGAGGAGGAAGAAGAGGAGGAGGAGGAAGAGGAGGAGGAGGATGAGCACGCTTACGTGTGGGAGGCGCGTAGGGACGATGGTATTAGCAACGCGGGTAGTTTGGACGGCGAAGCTGTTTGGACAGATGCCATGCGATGACGCTGCCCCTGGAGGAAGGCAGCAGGCGATCTGGGGGAGCCCGCGCAGCTAGCCGAGCGCCCTGGCTGGCCGTCCCCGTCGGGAGGTGCGGATCAAGGGCCTCGTGAAGCGCCCTGGCGACAACGGCAAGGAGGTCCCGGGGAAGCTGGGGCGGGCGCCGGGTCCAGACGGCAGGGGAGGAGGGATCGGTACGCAGGGCTCGGACACGAAACGCATGGTGCGAAGGCCGACAGCAGTTCCTGCTCATTTTGACCAGGGCTCGGTGCAGGTGTCGCCACGGAGGGTGTCCATTGGAGTCAGAGGGTCGCCTCCAAAGCAGCGGCCGCTGTCGGTTATGAACAACTGTCGCTGCTCGGTGTCGTGACCGTTTTGTTGTGCACGCATTTCGGGCATCCGAGCGGGAGGACAGC